CCCAGACAAGTGTGAATTGAGCAGATCGGAAATAATGATTTTGGGTCACATCATTAAGTAAGAGGGTATTCTGCCTTGCGAGGACAAAGTTCGAGCAATAAAGGAATACAACGTGCCGTCCGCACTCAAGGAATTGAAGGCTTTTCTCGAATTGGTTAACTTCTACTGACGTTGCATCCCACACGCGGCAGAACGGTTACGACCATTAACCGATTTACTACGCGGTAATCCACGCAAATTACAATTGAACGATACCGCACGTACTGCATTTTCAGAGATCAAAACGGCTCTCGCTCAAGTTACACGTCTCACTCATCCTAACCCATCAGCCACGCTTAGTATAGCGGTTGATGCATCGGATTTTGCCATAGGAGCCGTTATGCAGCAGAACATCTCCGGTAGTTGGCAACCACTCGAATTTCTCTCACGACGCCTTACTCCCACGGAGACGAGATATAGCGCTTTTGGTCGCGAGCTGCTTGCAGCCTACTGTGCCATCAAATATTTCTGGCACGCAGTAGAAGGACGCCAATTCATCTTATTCACCGACCATAAGCCCTTAACGTATGCCCTGCATACCAAGTCTGACCGCTACTCACCACGAGAGTGCAGACATTTGGACTACATCTCCCCAGTTCACGACAGACCTTCGTCACATTAAAGGTGAGTCGAATTATGTTGCCGACGCTCTATCACGTATCCAGACGAATGCAGTTACCTTACCGGTGCTCGATCTTCCTGCTATGGCCGCCGCGCAAGCAAACGATCCTGTCTGTACAGAAGCACCACAAACTTCGTCCCTTCAATGCCAGGAATTACCCCTAGCTACTAGCTCAAGTAATATCCTATGTGATACTTCTACCGGTCTTCTTCGACCCATCGTACTCTCTGCCTATCGTCGTCTAGTTTTTGATACCCTACATGGATTGTCTCATCCAGATATCGCGGCTACATTACGTTTCATCGCTGCACGACACGTCTGGCCGTCCATGAATAAAGATGTCCATATGTGAGTAAAGCAATGCCTTCAGAGTCAACAATCAAAAATGCACAGGCACGTAGCTGCCCCCATTGGCACGTTCGCTACGTCTGACGCTCACTTCGATCACGTTCAGATAGACATTGTGGGACCATTGCCACCATCGCATGAGTATGATCACATACTCACGTACATTGACCGTTTTACAAAATGACCCGAAGCTATTTCCATCACATCTATTACGGCGGAGACAGTTGCTCACCGCTTCGTAAAACGATGTTGAGCGCTGTACGGTTGTTCCTCGACTGTCACGACTGACTGAGGACAACAATTCGAGTCCGCATTATTCTCCACACTGACCCGGCTGCTTGGTACGGAACGCATACGCACCACTGCCAACCATCCAGCATCGAATGGTTTAGTCGAAAGGTTTCATCGCCAACTTAAAAGTGCTCTCCGAGCACACGAAAACGAAAATTGGTATGAAACCTTACCGCTCGTTCTCTTAGGTATCAGAACGAGTTTGAAGGCAGATATCCAATTTTCCGCCGCTGAACTTAAATTGGGCACGACATTGCGTCTGCCTGGGAAATTCTTTACACCACGGAGCAGTGACGATTTCGGGAAATCAGACTACGTCCATCGACTGCCTGCATTTATGCGAACGCAGTCTCTGGTGTCAACTCGAATACAACATCGACAGGTCGCTGTCTCTCGAGAGTTATCTACCTGTTCACATGTTTTCATACGAGTAGACTCGGTACGCAAACCTCTACAACAGCCTTACGAGGGACCTTTTCGCGTGATCTCTCGTCACGAAAAGACCTTCAAGGTTGATTTACATGACCGCGTCGAGATCGTCGGCATTGATCATCTCAAACAAACACACGTCGATGACAGTGCCCTACTTGATAATTTTAGACCCAATGCCAGACCTATCACACCTACTAATTGGGTCTCTACACCTACATCGGATCCCACGCTAGATATATCAGAGACCTCATTCTCACGTCCCGGTCAACAGCACGCGTAATCTGCACCATCAACGGGCGAGACCTCCGTCTCAGGTCCAGATCAGCAGACCATGCCGCCCTTGACTTCGGATGAGATTGCAGTCTGACGAAGTACGAACAGGACTACCGTCTCACGTTCCGGTCGCCTAGTACGCTTACCCGTACGCTTTCGCGACTATTCGCACAATCAACATCGGATACGGTGTGTGACTATTCCTTTACTACACGCATGCTACACTTTTCCTTTTTTTGTTTTTTTTTGTATCCTGAACCCACGCCTCCGACCATCGCCCGTTTGGTAACGTCGACTTCAGTCAAACTTTAGCGAAAGCTGGTCTGACCACCTATGCTCTTGTCAGCGCACTCAGTCGATGGTCTGGATTCGAATCCGCCTGGCACATGTTTGGTTTCGCACTTGGTTGTCATGGTCGCTTCTGATTCCTCGGCTCAACGTGGTTTCGTCCGACGTCCGCAGCGTTTCCCGGTCAGCATCCTTACGAACGCAATCTTTAGATCCTGGATACAAACCACTCTGGTGTGGTATGCTAACTCGAGCAACAAATACAGCACGCTTCTCCTGGTACCGTTCTACGCAAAAAAAACCTTCGTTGGCAACTAGAGGATCAACGATCGCTTCCTGTTTCGCCAATTCTTCCGTCCTACAATAGCACGTTTGCCGATCCGTCCCACAAACCAAACCTATCGAAAATAAAAGACCTTTCTATCGGTGGGCTCCTGTAGTGACCTATTTTTGTCAACAGAACGTGATTGGTTTAATGGAAACAATCATTATTATAACCAATTGTACCTGTGATTGTTTCACCGTGCTCGTTTGTTTAACTGTACTAAAGACAGCCATTACTCTCCTGTTGACTTTGACCTTGTACGAATTCGGTTACGCTCAGTAACCCCACTGGTAATCTCGCACAATCTCGGTATTCTTTCGATACCACGAGATCGCCAGAAAATACATCTCGACTACAGCCATCATCTGCCTTCTGATATTGACCTACGGGGATCTTATTGGTTAACTGGCACGTAGTCTTCTTGTAGTGGTGATCATAGTCAACCACGATTCGACGCCACACTACAAATACATTAATCACAAGTTTGGATGTTGTCACTGTTACCTGTATTCATAGTAATATATCCTAAGAATATTTTAAAATAGCTTTTTGTGCTACCACTTACCAGTATTACTTCTTAAAAACTAGCTTTTGAAATTTAGCACGAGATTACCTATTACAGACGGAGCAAAAAGTAAAGATAGACAGTGGTTAATAATGAAATTTTCTCGTACAGTGGCAGATAAAAAAAGATAAAGATCATCATTAAATATGCTTTGTTTAAGTTTTGAAATGCAAAATACATTTTGAAATGGTTTTACCAGGATATTGTTAACAAATGATTACTTCATCACCACAAATTCCGCCTGCAGCTTCCTTAGTGCTACTGTCGATCCAAAGTCTTATTGAAGAGCAATGACTAGCACGAAACCTAGATATGGCCGTTTCCTGCCAACTGCCTAACAAAATATATAACTTATGTCAAAAGTATTATGCCTTTGGACAGAAAGTCGATTCTTAGAGTGTGTGAAATTGACTTCATGTTTAAATTCCAATACATTGGGCAGTTAGACTGTTAAGTGTCTTTGAGGAGTGACTTACTTCCTTACTCCTGTTAGCCCAAGTGGAAGAGCATAGGTCGCTCACCAGCATTCTCTATAGACCTCCATCCTCGTCCAGGTCATCTGTGAATTTCAAATCATCTAACTACATCCACGCTGTCCATTTGATTCCGTGATTCCCCTCACATATGGAAATCTTCTTAACCCAGTTAACCACCAAAAGAAATAGAAAGGAGGAGAGTAGGTAGCCTTGTCTGACACGAGTCCCCACTTGGGGTGTATCTGTTGGCTGTACTCCATGCACGATTTTGCAGTATAATCTGTCATACGAATTCCAGATGATGTTGACAATTTTATCAAGTACACCATGATCTTGAAGAACATTACATAAGGTTCTCGTACCTGTACTGCCAATTATTTTTTCATAGCTATGGATTTCAAAGATTTATTCATCACCACAAGGTTTTAAGAGCATTAGAGAGTTTTCCTAAAATATAACGACATGAGTGGTGGTGAATATAATTGAAAATATCAGGAAGTTGGCTAGCTTCTCTCGCTACATCTTTTACCTCGAATCTAGTGCCCGTGATCTGGTACTGTAACATTCATTGGATGTGTTCTTTGCTTACTGATTTCTCCATGATTATTTAGCTACCAGTGAGTTAAGAGTTCGGAGAAGCAGTGAACCACTGAGCATTCATGTTGTTAGCGAACTACTATGAGATTGTAAGATCAATGTATTTTATCATAAAATAAGCATTATCAGGCCATGATGTTTCGTTCTGTTGTCTATCATGCAGATGTTGGTCACTACCTAGTGATCAATTAGCTGTAAATAAATTCCGGTCTTACAAGAAGTAAGTCAAGTTCTAGATAGCTAAGTGGCAACGTCTCTGACTGTGAAGCTGGTCAACACGAGATCGGGATCAGATCCATCACAAGTATACCTTGCTAACGAGTGCCAAATAGCACGAAGCCAAGGTCCAAAGTATCCTACAGACCACTCCCGGTAACCTCCTTACGTAGTGTATGCGATGTTAAATCACCTTGGGTAGTACGCACATTGGAACTTGGTTGATGGAATTCGATTTGGACTAGGAGAGACCTGATACGTATGACATTAGTCGTCAATCAGTGATTAATCAGTTGTAGACTGTCCTCTGAGATGTCCTGATCTAGTGGGAAGAAAAAGAGAGGATTTATTAGGTCCAAAATCGTTTCTTCGTATTCCATAAATCAAAATCAGATCACAACAATGAATACTGAAGCAATACATGACACGATTATTTTTTACTGATTTATTAAGGTGGGGACTTTATTACCCTAACTATAAAATCAGTTAGTTAGATAGATTTCTAGTTTCTTTTACTCATTTGAGCAACAAGGTCTAGTTAAGCCGGGCAGTTGAAAAGATGAAACTTAGGCTTAAGTTTCTAAACAAGTTCCACGTTTTCGAGACGGCAACAACTAATGCCACTCTTAATGAGATTTTTGAGTCTGCTTCGAGAGTTTTCGGTTTGAAAAGGTAGTTAGTACTTTTCATTTCCATAAGAGTGTATTGGTTAAAAAGCTTGTTTTTCAAGCAAACTTAATTTTGGTATAAGTATGCTATATTGACGACCTTGTGTTATTTATCATTCAATCAGGAGACGTCTTCTTTTAAAAAACAGTTAAAAATACAAAAAAACTTTAATCTTAAGTTTCGTTTCTCCATTTAGCTTTCAAGTTTTCAAATCCGTAAGGGCATTCTTCCACTTGATTCTATCACCATGCGGCCAGTCTGGTTGGATACGAATATTCGAATTATGAGTTTTGTATATGTTGTTCAATAGGACGTCCCTTCACAATTTCCGAGTACTAACTTCAAGATCCTTGTTGGTTGGGTCTCACCTCCAACTCACCGAGTCTTATTATGTACCTCTGAAACATCTGCCAGTACATTTCTGATGGCAAATTCCAATAACTTCAGATCTTATGCATGCTTTTTAGCAAGATCATTGTCTTCCAACTCCAAATTCCAAATAATTAAACTAAGAAAAGACTTAACTTCACACAAATCAAGTGACTTGTGTGGCGTTTATGTATTCAGTGACCCTTTGTACCAATATTTATGTGTTCAAATAAATAAATAGGACGAAAATATATGTCATGATCGAGTATTATTTATTCTTATTTATTTATTTAAACACATAAACATTGGTACAAGGCGACAAATAAATATGCGCCACATAAATCATTCGATTTATCTAAGGGATGGGATACTGACCGGGTGGCCAAACCGAAGCAGGTGACTTTCTTAGGGGTCCACACCCAGAGCCTTTGACCTGAAGGTCTGACCTACAAGGCAGTGGAACATCGTGAGGGGATGCAGTCCCATGGTAGCCGGTGACCAAAAATTTGTTCCTTTGGGATCCTTGGGCCCATATGCACCATTGGTTTAAAATTAAGGTATTTCAGCTCCGCTAGGTGGATTCTTCGAGTTCACCAACCCGGGTAAAGCGCCGGACATTCACTTTTCGTCCTCTCAATTTCGTAAACAACAGTTATGCCGCGAAAAGTCAGTGAATAGGACTTCCGTAGCAGTATCTGTATATGTGTGTCCATTTGGGAGAAAGAACTGACTCTCCTCACTCTCGTCCATACCAGGAAATTTGTGGGCACTACTTATTCTAACTTACTATTATCACATTTCAAATGTTCATTATTATAAATACATTAGTCTTGAGTGTTGTTAGAGGTATGAGGGCGGTTATCACTTCCCGGTTGCCTACATCATGGAAGGGTTCTTCTGGAGGTATCTGGAAAAGAAAATTGTATTGCGTTCATTATTACTCAATAACTGTATGGATACATTGTTTCTTTCTTTTCTTCTTTCTAATTTCTATATTCAGAGAAAATGTTCAAATAAGTCTTAATGCAAAAGATTATTATAATACAAATCATTCAAATCAATATATATCTGAAGTTGGCATTGTTAATGGTGATATAATCTATATTAGTTCATTGGAAAAATTAGATGATATTAAACAATCATTAGAAATTGAAGTATGTTCTTATATTACTTGATTATATACTTATTTCTTTTAAAAGTTAGCTACTCCTATTCTTACATTAATAAATGATATACCTAATTCTCAACATTATACATCTATTCTCTTAATGGCTATTCCTTTGTATGTATTCGCTATTGATAAAGGTTTATATGTAAGTATAATATAATGTTATGTAATATTTACCTTCTTTTTTTAGAATTTAGATCATCTAAGTCAATACTATCAAGAAATATCATCAATTATACGTTTAACATTTAATTATCCTCAAGTTGATTCTATTAAATTGATCTTTACATTATTTCAAAATGGAAATATGACTTGTATTGCTGGTAAATTTTTATTGATTCTATACCCCTTTATTTGTTATGTCAGTCAGTTACTATCTCACAACAGACCTGATTAAACTTCACTAGTTACGGCTTCTCATTAGAATCCCAGGAAAATATCTCTTGGAGACTATCACTAGTGTGTATATGATGATTATAATCAGAGAGGGGTTTTTGTGGATATTATAGTAATTTTTAATAGTTGAATTCATGAGTTAATTGAAGTTTGATCACTATGGAAAACCTGGAAACATTGGATGGACGTTTTGTCATAGTATAAGATTTTTCAACAGTGTGCATTCACGATTCTGCCTCATGAGCACTTAACCTCCAGATCACTGAATCAGCATCCAACGGTGTTAATGTCTAACTTCAACTAATCCACGAAATTGCGCTGTCGTTCACCATTGTCATCAATGAGTTACTATCTCACAACAAACCTCGTTGAACTCCACTAGTCACTGCTTCTCACTAGAACTCCGTAAAATACCTCTTGGGGATCGTCACTAGGGTGAGACTATAATTTATGGACGACCTTTGAGCGACGCTAAAATGTCCTTAAGGGTGTTCACCTGGTAAGTAGGACCAGTTAAGGTTAGGAATTAGATTTCAGGTTTTCATCACGAACTGACATCAACTATAATTCCAAAACGCTATTTAACCAAATGAGTGAGTGAATTTCGCGTCAAAATTCAAGACCTGTTATCTGACACCTGATTGGTTCGTCCATAAATTATAGTCTTGCCATCACTAGTGAGCATATGATGATTATATTCAGAGAGCGCTTTTTTAGATATTATAGTAATTCTAATAGTTGAATTTATGAGTCAATTAAAGCTAGACCACCATGGAAAACCCGGAAGCACTGGACGGCTGTTTCTTCGTAGTATGGGACTCCTCAGCAGTGAACATTCACGGTCCCCTCTTACGAGATTCAAACCCAGGACCTATCAGTCTTGATTAATTATGTTACTTAAATTAATCAATGATAATCACCAATGAAGGCTGGCACAAATTTGTGTTAGTCCAAGTCCCTATATCACACCAACATGGTAGGATGAATATGTGTATAAAGTTCAAAATTTACTCGACATACAACTTTTTCTCGGTCGTAGCTGCCACATTTACGTGATGATCAGGTTTGCCTATCAATAACAGTGCAGTCGATATATACTTTGTCTTTTTTTAGAAGTAATACCATTTTAAGACAGTCGGTTAAATAGCAGTAGAGCGATAAGCGTCCAAGCTCGTCATGTTCAAAACGAATATCCTTATTCACTTCGTATTATTTCTTTTATTTTCACTATTAGCCCTCCTCCCCTGTCTTCGACTTGCTTTATACGTGCTATGAATGTTAAGAATTTCAGATCTTGAAATATTATTACTGAGACTCCTCTACAAACTCAAAAAGTTAGTGACACCTCGTTATCTTTTCTCCATTCCTACCTACGACTCTGCTGATTGCATCACTAAGAAAGTAAACAGTGAATTTTATGAGAAGCTCTTGACCTTCAGAAACGTACTAATCTTAATCGTTGATTTTCTATCCCTAATTAGGTAGAACAATTCAAGCTGAAAAACGTTTACGTGGGTCTTTTGACGCCTCAGGCGAACTAACTGATAACAGTAACTGTTTGCCTCAATTATCCCTGGACAGTTGTTAAAGAGACTCAACGGATGTAACACTGCCTAACGATTATTTTGTATACAGTAGTATCAATATGATTTATGTTACTTATGTAGACATAGGTATCATATAACACCAGTCAGAAGTGGAATGCCTGGCATCAGAAGGCTAGTAAAATTGAATCGATGAGAATGAGAACAGAGATTAATTGTAATAACAATGAAGAAGCGATGAAAATCGAGACAATTGTTGAAAGATTTGCATATAAAGTATTGAATATATGGTTTTCACGTTTTACCAAAGAACTTGGTAATTTTGTATCAAAACACATTGATTGTTCCCACATCTGTACTTGTTGGCTACAGTACTAGTTTTTGATGGAGTTTTGTTCTCTGAGCTGGATGGTTAGGTCGTGGAGCTTTCATCGTTCTTCTGAACGACATCATCAGCACAAACGTCAGATAGAAGTGAAGTGTTCGGATTTCTCCATATGCGTTTCACAGCTTGTTCTGTGCACCTCGATGTTGATTGGTTCTTATTGACTTTAAATTTGTCATTGTTTACTTTTTTGTCTTGGTTTTGTCTCCTAGTCTAGTGAACAAGAACACGAGTGGGAACAATCGAATGTATTTGACGCGAAATTACAGAGCATCTCAACAAAATCTGACAACCATATAATAACTAGTTAGTTTGCAAAATATCAATCCATCGTCTCAAATTTGACTGTTCCTATGCAAATATCCGTCGATTGTCTCAGATTTCATTGTTCATGCGTTTTCATTACCGATTTCGTTCCATTCACGTTCTTTCTTTATCGATCTTCTGTTGAAATACATTCTATGCCTGACCACCGTTGTATACTACTTATATGGATATAAGTAACCCATACTACACTAGTAGTAATGCCATTTCACTGTGTTTTGTTTTTCTCTGTTACATTTCTATTCTCTTTAAGCAAGTGTTCAAGATCTTCCTATTCGAAAACAATTAATTTTACAAACAAAAATTTATCTTATCAAGCAAGATACCATACACCAATGTAAGTGAATCTTTCATCATAGTATTCCCCTTTTTTGTATTAAGTGTATGCCAAAATCAGTTTTCAGTAGTTAATAGACATTTTTGGCACGTAGAAATTGTTGTCCTTATCTTCAAAATCACTTTATACGCTTTTGTTCCATACAAATGTTGAGAAACAAAGAATATTTGAATAAACAATGACTTCATCATTAGGTCCCCCAAGTGCCCTGGTACAACGGATGGTGGAGAGAGTCCTGCCTCCCTTTCGAAAGGCTTTCACATGGCTATGTGTATACAGCCACTGTCAGGGAAGTCCTACTCGCTGTGGGGGTGTTGTTTATGAAAATGGGAGGACGAAAAGAGAATGTCCGGCACTTCAACCGGGTTAGTGGATATGGAGGGTTCACCTAGGTGAGTTGGAAAACTCTCATTCCAAACCAATAGTGTACATAGGTTTTAGTATCTTGAGGGAGAATATGGCGTATGAACCTATTATTAGTCACCGGCCACCATGAGACGGCATCTCCTAATGTTGCTCCTCTACCTTGTGAATTAGACTTCTAGGTCAAAGACTGCGGGAATGGTCCCCTAAGAAAATCACCTACTTGGGTTTCGGTACCTGGGCAGTATTTCATTCCTCACAGAAATTGAATGGTAAAGTGTGACGCATATATATTTGGAACCTTCTTGTACCAATGTTTATGTGTTTAAATAAATAAATAAGTTCATAATTATTCTGACATTTTGCAAAGGCCAGAATAAGGCATGCATTAATGAATTTGTCTATGTTACATGTTAAAAATGGTGAACGTCTGCATTTTTAAGTCGTTTAAAGGATTTTTCTGGTTGGCTTTTTTTTATCGAATAAGGTTGCTAATCCCATTTCCAAGTATTCTCTACTTAGGTTTTGAACTGACATTAACTGTTTCAGGTCGGTCACACATAACCTTTTTATTGGTAATTTTCGTGTGATTTGCGTACTTGTTGAGACCTTACCGCCGGAGACGGATATCCGCGGGATAAGGTGAGGTGTGCATTTTTAGGTTCGACTTTTTCTAACCCCACCCCTCCTTTTGGGAAGGCAGCATCTCTGTTATGCTGGTTGTCTGATGGAAACACCTCACTGCTGTCACACGTCTGTACAGTCAGCAGTACGACTTCGCCTTTGATTTTATTTTTATTTATTTTAACACATATGTATTGGTACAAGGAGGCACCAAATACATATGCGCCACACAAATCTCATTTAATTTGTGTGAGGGCTGTGATACTGCCCGGGTGCCCAAACCGAAGCAGGTGGTTTTCTTAGGGGGCCACACCCTTCGCCTTTGAACCTTGGGTTTGTTGCTTTTAGTCTTACCGCTCTTCAACCAACCTATCTGGCATGGTAGGACCTTGAGGAACGGTTGTTCCAGCTAATATAGCTCGATTGCTTCATCACAATGGACAAGCCCGACCACCACGTTAAGGTAGCAACAATGGTCGGGATCTAATATTACAGAATAAGACTAATAATGTCAAGACAGAAGAAGTTGACATATGAACACCTTAGAACTAGAAGTCGATCCATTGATATGTATTCCAGCTGAAACTCAAAACCTTGACTAGTTCATCTCTTTAACTTAGCTACATTACAACATTACTTTTCAAAACACACATTTAGGTTTATCAATACACAAGATTAAGATTAGATGCCCTACAATATTGTTCTGTTTGTTTATGAAATAACTAATACTTATGATATTGTTTTATATTCTAGTAAGATAATAAAATATGATTATCTAACGTCATTTCATTCATTATGATAGACTGTTAGCGAGACACTGGGATTAAGGAGACCCCATTAATCATCTGAGGGTTCAGTGTAGAGTGATAAATAAGCAGGAACCTCTCTAAGATCTCTTCAGTGATCCCTTTCCGTTTCGATTTTTTCAGAGTATTTTTAAATGTACTAATAAAGCATTCCACTTGACCCCATTTGTATTGGAAAGATAAATTTGATTTATACATTGTATTATTTGTCTTTCTGTTTGCCTAATCCTTTTCTAATGACCCTCTCTGTGTATCTCTCTCCATTTGTATGTATGTTTAATTTAGCTACTACGAACAAATTAAATCTTCTATACAGACATTTACGATTGTTATCTATACGAATTAAAGATGAATTAATTGAACCTATACTATTGGCTATTCATTCAGGTAGATAAATGTTTTCTTTCTTATTATTTCGTCTTTAATTCATTTAGTACATGAATGCTTAACACGGTGAGATTATAATTTATGGACGATCTTCGAGTGACGCCAAACTAACTTTTGGAATCTCCACCTACTAACTTGGGCCAAATAAAGGTTATAAACCAGTGTGAGGAATTAGAATTATGATTTACACTTGATGGTCAGGGTTAGGAATTGGAGTTATGGTTTTCATCACTATTTGACATCAACTATAATATTTTATTATTTATTTATTTTAACACATAGATATTGGTACAAGGAGGCACCAAATACATATGCGCCACACGAATCTCAATTGATTTGTGTGAGGGCTGTGATACTGTCTGGGTGCCCAAACCGAAGCAGGTGGTTTTCTTAGGGGGCCACACCCCGAGCCTTTGACCTGAACGTCTGATCCACAAGGCAGTGGAGCATCGTGAGGAGATACAGTCCCATGGTAGCCGGTGACCAACGATTGGTTCATACGCCATTTGTTCCTTCAGGATACTGGAGCCCATGTGACCATTGGTTTGGGATCCGGTTAAAGCGCCGGACATTCGCTTTTCTTCCTCTCATTTTCGTAAACAACACCCCCGCCGCGTGAAGGCAGTGAGTAGAACTTCCCTGGCAGGGGCTATGTATGCGTGGCCATGTGAGAGCATTTCGAGAGGGAGAGCGAACTCTCCCCACTCTCGGCCATACCAGGGCATTTGGGGGCAGTGATCCAGTAGGTTAAACGTTCACTCGTGAGACTGAAGGCCCTGGGTTCGAATCCCGCTAGCGGAATCGTGGGTGCGCATATCAACTATAATGCCAAAACTCTTTTTATCCAATATGGATGAGTGAATTTCGCGCTAAAATTCAAGATCTGTTATCTTAAATCTGACTGGTTCGTTCATTATAAATTATAGTCTTGCCTATTAACACCATTACTTTTTTAATTATTTCTTTAATAGTCTCCCACAAATCTCTTACCATTGGAACTTTGAGCAAAACCTAAATGGTAGGGGGAGGATGAAGAAAATTTTTACTTTCAAAACTAGTTTGAGTATAGAAAACAAGAATATTTATGGGTTTTGTATGTAACCTTGGTATTCTAGAAGCTTGGGTCGATATTCATTTAATCAGAGTATGATATATAATTCATCATTTTTCTTCCAGAGGTTTCTAGGAAGTTTCTACTGGATGTTGATTGGATGATGTTTCTTTTTTCAACTTTTTCTTATTTACTGAAGACTTTACCAAGGAATTTACAAAACCTTCCATTGAAAACAACTGACAGACGACGGAGAGAGAAATTTGGATGTATGGTTTATTTTAAAAGCTGTACAATCGTAAATGTTGTATGTTAGTAATAAGCAATGTATGACGTTGCTCACATATGAATCGGTTCAAGTTATCATACTACTCTAGCACATGATGTGATAAAATTTTTAAGATGAGTATCAAGGTTGTGGAAACATCAGCAGTACTAGAGAAAAAATTGAACCTAGAGAATATGATTTTAGCGGAGTGGATTAGTTCACTGAATTATAAGTACAAAATAAATTTGAAAAACTTAGAATACACATCTCTACCCTGGTACGGCTGAGAGTGGGGAAAGTCCGCTCTCCCTCTCAAAATTCTCTCACATGGCCACGCGTATACAGACACTGTCAGGGAAGTCCTACTTATTGCCTTCTCGTGACGGGAGTGTTGTTTACGAAATTGGGAGGACGAAAAGAGAATGTCCGTTGCTTTACCCGGGTTGTTTGACACAGACGTACCACCTAGAAAAGTTGGAAAACCCTGATTCCAAACTAATGGTGTATGTAGGCTCCAGGATCCTAAGGAAACAACTGGCGTATGAATCTATTGTTGGTCACCGGCCACAATAAGACTGCACCCACTAATGTCACTCCTCTACCTTGTGAATTAGACTTTTAGGTCAAAGACTGCGGGAATGGTCCCCTAAGAAAATCACCTACTTCCGTTTAGGTACCCGGGCAGTATTTCATTCCTCACAGAAATTGAACGGTAAAGTGTGACGCATATATATTTGGTACCTTCTTGTACCAATGTTTATGTGTTTAAGTAAACAAATAGGCGGATAACAGACAGCAAGAGAGAGAGAATTAGTAATCCACTAGACAGTGGAAAAACGTTAGGAGATGCAGTCCCATGGTAGCCGATGACCAACAATAGGTTCATACGCCATTTGTGTCCTTAGGATCCTAGAACCTATGTACACCATTAGTTTGGAATGGGGATTGTCCAATTCTCTGTATCCACCAACCTGGTTAAAGTGCCGGACATTCGCTTTCCATCCTCTCCATTTCGTAAACAACACCCCCACCACAAGAAGACAGTGAGTAGGACTTCCCTGATAGTGGTTGTATGTACTGTCCATGTGAGAGTATTTCGGGAGGGTGATATAATTCACCGCACTCTTGGCCATACCATAGCATTTGGGAGGCATGAAATAAGACTGAGTATTTCATTGTTTGTATTTGTCACAGATTGGGATATCATTTAAATCAGAGAATACTAGAAAATTTGTTTTCATTATAGTGTGGAGGTCTTTCGGAATTCTCATTGATGACCTCACTATGAAAAGTGTTTGTCACTTGACTTAAAGGTCTTAGGTTCAAGAAATAAATGTTTATGTACTTTTTTTTATTTATATTCCATCTTTGTTTTTGTATTTTTTTCAGAATGTAATTTATCTCCAAGACTTCATTTATGTACTCTTCCAAGTGAATTATTTGTAAGTGGTTAATATATATACATAATATTCATTTATATGAACTGTCGATGAGACTATAATTTATGGATGACCTTTAAAGTGATGCTAATGTAACCTTGAGAATGTTCATCTATGTACTAGGACGACATGAGGTCTGTAAACCTGTATAAAGAATAAGGATTATGATTTACAGTGGATTGTTATGGTCAGAAATTAGTATTAGGGTTTTCATCACGAACTGACATCAGCTATAATGAGATGGTGGAGAGGGTTTGTAGCTCAGTTAGATGATTTTGATGAAGTTTTGTTCTATAAGCTGGATGGTTTGGTCGTGGAGCTTTCATCATTCTTCTGAACAACATCATCAACACAAACTTCAAGTAAGTAAACTTCTACCATCAAAATCAGTTATAATGCCAAAACTCTATTTATCTAAATAGATATGAGTGAATTTCGCGCCAAAATCCAAGACCTGTTATCTTAAATCTAATGGATTCGTTCATAAATTATAGTTTCGCCCAAAAGTTCATTTCACTTCACTTACACTAATCAGTTAGAATTAGGCTAAAGTCTGCTGTAAATGTTCATCAGTTCAATTAATCACGCCATTTCAGTAATATCTATGATACTGAAGAAAATGATTAAATCTAGTGAGAAGCAGCGACCAGTGGAGTTCAACCGGGTCAGTTGTGAGATAGTAACTCACTGATGACGACGGTAGATGTGTCACTCAATTTCATGGATTAGTTGAAGTTAGACATTAACACCGTTGGATGCCGGCCAGCTCAGTGGTCTAGTGGTTAAGCGCTCGCGCGCAAGACTGATAGATCCTGGGTTCGAATCCCGCGAGGCGGGCTCGTGGATGCACACTACTGAGGAGTCCCACAATAGGGCGAAACCGCCATCCAGTGTTTCCAGGTTCTCCATGGTGGTCTAGCTTCAATTGACTCATGATCTCAACAGTTGAAACGACTAAAAAATCTCCACAAAACCCCCTTCTGAATAAAAACTATAAGATTGTTTTAGGACTCAATAATTGTTATGACTTTTGTCTGGTTGATTATCATGTGATAAGATCCCCCAATTAGAATAACTTATACAACTTTGGCACTTTGCCAAACCAATGACGTTTTGACCGGTATGAGAAGTCTAGAGTCCTTCTTGCCTCCAAACGCCATAGTACGACCGAGAGTGGGGAGAGTCCGCTCTCCCTTTCGAAATGCTCTTACATGGCCATGTGCATACAGCTACTGCCAGGGAAATCCTACTTACTGCCCTCTTGCGGCATTACTGTTGTTTACGAAATTCAGAGGATGAAAAGCGAATGTCCGGCACATTAACCGGGTTGGTGGATACAGAGAATCCACCTAGGTTAGTTGGAAAACCCTGATTCCAAACCAATGGTGCACATGGGCTTCAGTATCCTGAAGGAACAATTGGCGTATGAACCAATCGTTGGTCACCGGCTACCATGGGACTGCATCTCCTTACGTTTTTCTACTGCCTTGTGTATTAGACCTTTAGGTCAAAGGCTCAGGGTGTGGCCCCCTAAGAAGGCCACCTGTTTGGGTTTGGGCACCCGGAAAGTATCACAGTCCACACACAAACCGAATGATTTATGTGGCGCATATGTATTAGTTGCCTCCTTGTATCAATGTTTATGTGTTTAAATAAATAAATTGTAAAAGGTTATCGAGATACCCACTACTGAATGACTATTAAATACTGCTTCTATATTACCTTATAGTTAACTTATAAATGACTCTATGATTAAGATCCATTTTGAAAAATAATTACCTTTGAATTACCCTAATTTTTTTTGCACACAAAATCACTTACATAGATGATAATCGATAAAATGAGTGTAGAATATATCGGTATCCAGAAACAGAAATTATAAAATACGGAGTATTAAGACCTCCGAAATTAATTGGGAATACTTGGAAAAGGTATTATAAACGTTTCTATACTACTATAATCAATTCTAACCAATATCATCATTCACAATTCCCTATATCATACTGATTTCAATTTTTGTAAAAAAAAAACTTGTTCTATATGAACTCAAACTGATATTTAATCGATTGAAATTGTACCACTAATTCCTTGGTTACTGATTCTATCCGTTAGGCGTTGTTAGGGATGTTAGATCCTCTGAACTCACTTGGTAAGTGTCTTATTTTTGTAATTTTATTTTGGAACTTTGAATCTCCTGTTTTCGCGCCAAAAAACGCCCCTTTTCATCTTCATATCGTATTTTTCACTTGGGAGGACCTTAAATGTCATTGGTTTGTTGTCCCTTTTAATATGATCTTTTGTCAAGGACATTTTTGTGCTGTATATATACACTTGAATTGGGCTTATGGTTGTTGTTTGTGTTTCTAGCTTCTTATGGAATACATTTCCCCCCTTTTGAACCTGAACTTCTCTCTCTAGTTAACGGGGTTGAGATGCATCGGAATAGTTAGCTTATGTGATTATTGTGTCACTGAGTCTTTGTTCCATACGCAGATTTAGGTAAACTTGTAATCTCTTCAAATTTAGCAGGGGTTTACTGCGAAAAGTAAAGATCCTAGATTCGAACATCATTGAGATCGTGGGCGTGCATTGCTGAGAAATCTGATCCTGTCACGAAACAGTTGTTCAGTACTCCCTGGTTGTTAACAACACCTAAAATGAGATCACTCTGTAGTGACAACTGTCTACAATATTAAATGACTTCACCAACGCTTCCGCGTTGTCTATATGAAGTTACGCCTTTTTAAATTAGTATACCTAATGGCATACTCAGGGAATACTTCTCAGTTATGAAATATTATGGAACAACAAACTATGAACATAATGTGCCAATGCTTTTGATAAATAGTTTCGGTAGGGTAACATATGCATTGTGTCCATCTGTTGTATCGTTTAGTTCGTTTCAATTATTATATTCACTTCCCACAGTATACCAAATTCACTATGCAAAAGATCAGAAAGGTTTAATAATTGCCCAATCAAAATCTAATGTATGCACAATGGATATACATATGATTCTTCTTTTGACTTCGACAATAATATATAAGGCAAAGCCTTGAATAATTACATGGTTGACTCCCTTCAATAGCACGTTTATTTTTATTTATTTTAACACATAGATATTGGTACAAGGGGGCACCGAATACATATGCGCCATACAGATCTCATTAGATATGTGTGTGGGCTGTTATACTCCCCGGGTGCCCAAATCGAAGCAGGTGGTTTTCTTAGGGGGCCACACCCAGAGTCTTCGATCTGAAGATCTGATCCACTAGGCAGTGGAGCATCGTAAGGAGATGCAGTCCCATGGTAGTCGGTGACCAACGATTGGTTCATACGCCAATTGTTCCTTCAAGATCCTGGAGCCCATATGCACCATTGGTTTGGGATCCGGTTAAAGCGCCGGACATTCGCTTTTCTTCCTCTCATTTTCGTAAGCAACAGTAATGCCACGAGAAGGCAGTTAGTAGGACTTTCCTGGCAGGAGCTATATACGCGTGGCCATGTGAGAGCATTTCGAGAGGGAGGGCGGACTTTCCCCACTTTCGGCCGTACCAGGGCATGTGGGGGCCAATCTCCTACTTATCATTTCATGTCATCTGCTCTTTTTTTTTAGTGCGAAATATTGTGTTATTTACCATTAGCATCACTTGGTTCCTTAATGTTATGTAATCGTGAATTATATTATCGTATACGTAATTGTAATACAGTTTGGCGTATTCAATTAGCTAAATTGAATGCTAAAAAGAGACCGATTTTAGATGGTGTACTTAGTCGACAACAATCATCATCATCATCATTACAACAAGTTGATCAAAAACATACTACTTTACATAAAAGTCAACAAAAGAATATTGGTGATGATGTTATTAATGAGATGGGTAAGTTTCATTCATATATTGGTGTTGTTTTACTTGTATATTCTCATTGTTATTTAGGACTGCAATTGATCAGTCTCGTGTTGGCATATGTGCATCCTGTGTGGATTGCCTCGATATAGCTTTAAGTCATAAGCTTTTTTTAAAGCAAAGATGGATAGTGGCTAGCAGTGGAATCCAGGACGCACGTTTCGTCCTATTTGGGACTCGTCAGCTGGATGTATCTGCATCTCAGAGTTGATGTTCATTCTGGGACTCGAACCCAATACCATCTGTTTCAAACGCCATAGCGTTCTCCACTTAGCTACTGAGTTCTAATAGCCATTGGCTTGTGCAATGGGATGAAGTTTAAATTCACTTGATGTTGTTTTACTTGTATCTTCCCATTGATGTTTAGGACTGCAATTGATCAGTCTCTTGTTGGCATATGTGGATCCTGTGCGGATTGCCTAGAAATATCCTTTAGTAATTTTGTAGAAATGACTAACTCTCTAGAGAATAGGTTTGAAATATTGAATGTAATCGAACATTAGTCACAAACATCTTTTAGATTCTAACTAGGTACTATGCACTAGCTAGTATAAAACAAATTGACAGTCAATAATTTCAATGGCTGATACCAAGTTGGTTTGTTTTGGGTTTTTTTGGTTTAGCTCCCTCTAATTCTTCTCATATTTACTCCTACTTTAGTGGACAATGAACGTTGAAATAAACAGTGGTTTAATATACATAACACACATCTAAGCTACCTCAGTTAATAAAGATTCGTTATCGATCGATTGGTGATAGGGTTAGTCAGTCAGATACAACGTAGAACCAGGCACATATATGCATCGGTCCAAGTTGTCACACCTCATTAGCACAGCAATACGAACACCGGATTCATAAAAGTAGTTAATTAAATGGTGATAATACATAAAAGAAAGATTGCATATAAGGATATCATACAGGAAGAAAGAATTAGTTGGTAGAAATGAAAGTATTTGATCTCACAGTTTAAAGGAAGACAAGTAGTGTATACACCTATACCATTGTGGTCGATTGTGAGTCATATCACCCACAGTGTCCAACCATTGATTACAATAGTCATGCGAACCCCAACCAAGTAGTCTGCGTCTATCAACATGGCTCAGACTAGAAGTTAGTGACTTCAAGCAATAATGTCTCGTTTTGGTTTGACCGCCCCTAATTTTCTTCCACCATCCCCAACACCGGTTAGCATTGCGCGTCGTGGTAATCGGTGTTCAGGCATACGTAACACGTGGTGATAGGGAATGAAATAATGTAAGTAGGTGGTACAGTCATTTATGACGAAACTAATTTTATCAACCCACCAAGTACATTCTCCTTTCGGATAACAATTCATTTAACGTGAAAGTAAATAGCAGTCAAACAAACAAATTATTTTAATAATTGAATTTATGATTCGACCTAAGCTAGACCATTGTTGAGAACCTGGAAATACTGGACGACCGTCTCGTCCTAGTATGAGACTCCTTAGCAGTGCGCATCCACGATTCCAAATACGATACTTAGACCCAGGACTTTCGGTCTTGCGCGCGAACTTCAGAAAACAATTCAGCATAGGGAATTTTCTTTCCAACGATATTGTATAATTAGTTTGAATACACTAGTTTATAATAAAATAGAAAAATATTGCATCATGCATCGAATAAAGTTAGGGGCGGCCAGACCAAAACATGGCACAAATCCATGAAGTCACTAACAAGTGGACTAAGCTTTGTTGCTAGGTGTAAACTACCTGGTTCGGGTCCGCGAGATGATAGCAACCGATGGTTAGAGACCTTGAATGACGTGGCTCAAAATCGTTTGCAATGGCGCAGGTGCATCCATTCTTTGTGTTCTCCTGAATTCTAATCTTCTGAATTCTTAATGTCCCTTTTTTCTCTTTCCAAATTTATTTCACTGGATTATACTCCTTGAATAATATCTTCAAACCCGAATCTTTCCGATTACTGCTTATACTCTTACTACCTCTATCACTACGGGAATTGAATCAATAACTGCATCTCTGTGCTAATGTGGTATGGCAACTTGAACTGATGTACGTACGTACGAAGTTCCACGTTGTTACTAACTGACTGACGATTGTTGGTCACCGGCTACTATTGGACTGCATCTCCTTACAGTGCCGCACTGCCTTGTGGATTAGACCTTTAAGTCGAAGGCTTAGGGTGTGGCCCCCTAAGAAAACCACCTGTTTCGGTTTGGGCATCCGAGCAGAGTATCACAGCCCACACACAAATTAAGTGAGTTGTGTGGCTCTTTGGTGCCTCTTTGTATCAATGTTCATGTGTCTAAATAAATACTGCATACATTTAATGCAAACAATTTTTGGCGAATTAAAAGATATTTTCATATATTTTTTTCTTCCTAAACCCTCATCTACTATCTCCCAATTGATTGTCAGATCAAACTGAACAAAGTGAAGCTTATAAAGTAAGTTGTGTGATATGTTTTTATTACAGTTGAATACTTTTTCACCATAAAAATCATACACAAAATATCTGATCATTGGTTTATTACTTTATTAGTAGTATTGTGATTATTATATTTCTGTGTAGACGACTACTTGGAGCGATTACTATTCCTAATATTATGGGACTCCACAACAGTGTGTATCCATGATCCCGCCCGCGGGATTCGAACTCGGGGCCTTCGGTTTTACGCGCGAACGCTTGACCTCTAGACTAGTGAGCCGGCATTCAATGGTATTAATGTCTAACTTCAACCAATCCATGAAATTGCTTGACCATCTTCCATTGTACTGAGGTAGATGCCTGTCTCTACCCGATACGGATTAGCCGTGACCAGTGATCCCGCAAGCGGGATCGTGGATGCACACTGCTGAGGAGTCCCACAATAGGACGAAACGGCCATCCATTTCTTCCAGGTTTTCAATGGTGGTCTAACATTAATCGATTCATGATCTCAATCAACCCCATACTGATTATTCTTAATATTTGTTGAATGAATCCAATATCTACTTAAAATATATCATTTCAATCAAATTTATTACGTAACATCTTCCAATGTATTATGTAATATGGTACAGTGACCGAGTACACTTTCATCTTTCCCGACAGTAGCCGCTACCTTGTCGTGATGGTTGAGCCTATCACGATGGGATGAGACTGATAGGGTGTTTAGTAAAAAAACCGAAATAATATCAGAATTAACCATATTGAGATAGATTAAACATTGACACTTGATTGATCACCAGGTGATGATCAATTTCATGTATGTCAGGTACTTCTTAGTGTAGATCGAATCATATCGACCAAGTTGTAATGTGGCCACTAGTCTATGTGACTCGATATTGTATGTGCATTATGCTGTAGTAAAATGGTGGTTGGAAGTAGTCAACAGGAAACCCTGGACTTAGGTTTCGTGCCACTTTGCCTCCAAATGCCCTGGTACGGCCAAGAGTGAAGACAGTCAGCTCTCCCTCTCGAAATGCTCTCATATGGCCACGCGTATATAGCCTCTGCCAGGGAAGTCCTACTCACTGCCTTCTCGTGGTATTACTATTGTTTACGAAAATGAGAGGAAGAAAAGCGAATGTCCGGCGCTTTAACCGGATCCCAAACCAATGGTCACATGGGATCCAGGATCTTGAAGGAACAATTGGCGTATGAACCGATCTTTGGTCACTGGCTACCATGAGACTGCATCTCCTTACGATGCTCCACTGCCTTGTGGATCAGATCTTCAGCTTGAAGGCTCCTGGTGTGGCCCCCTAAGAAAACCACCTGCTTCGATTTGGGCACCCGGGCAGTATCACAGCCCTCACAAATATCAAATGAGATTCGTGTGGCGCATATGTATTTGGTGCCTCCTTGTACCAATATCTATGTGTCAAAATAAATAAATCGTCAGCAAGATGTATCTGTAATCTTAAGGGAACTGATGCTATCTGACGGATTCAATCCCGTGTCGCGCAGCTTCAGTCACCTTGCTGACGAGTGCCACGTAGCACGCACGAAACGTAGCTCCAGGGTTTCTTGTTGACTACATCCAACCACCATCTTATTAAACATTCAGTATACTGTTGAAGAGGAAGCAATAAAATAACATCTTTTGATGGTATCCTGGGACTCAAATCTATGAGAATACAAAGAGTTAATGTGTCAGTTCTCTCATAACCAATTTTTTCTCTTACTGATCACAGTTAGCACTCAGACCATAACCAGGTGTTCTGAACTTATCAATAGTCGGTAATTTCATGGATTGACACTAAATTTCGCTTTGACCGCTCTTAGTTTCTTTCCAACTTACTGTTAAATCAGTTAACATTAAACATCGAGATAGTCAGTAGTTGAACCAACGTAATATATACTTTTATTACATCATTCAATCAAGATTCACTGCCTCACTAACTAATCTGTTATTTCTACTTAGTATCCTTACCTCAACATTGCTCATTCGTTCACTCTACAATGCCCAAACTATATTTCGAAGATGCCTATGATCAAAAACTTAGAGCTTACGCATATCTTATTCTTCATAGACCATGTTTTACAGCTGTTAATTGATACAAAGTGAACTGCTATACAATGTACTCACACCTTAATTGAAGGATGGATATATCTCTTACTGTACAAGTTGTGCATGTTGCAAAACCAACCGAAATATCGACCCTGTCATGTGTGATAAGACTGCTAAATAGAATCGGCAAGGCATTCATTTATTTTACTCTGTGTAATCAGTTAAGATGATAATACAGACCAGTTCCAGGGCAACATTTTACACTTAGATGAAGTGAAGTCTCTCCATAGTTATTTTATTACCCCAAATTATGGTGGCCATGGTAAGAAAGTTGATAAAACTTGGTGTACATAAATCCTCTAAATTTTATTGAGATCACTAACCAGTCTTGGTTAAAAAACCAGTACGAAACAGGAAGTACTGGATAGTTGTTTCGTACTCCTCAATAGTGCAGACACGTGGTTGTGAATCGAACCCAGGACTTTCGGTTTCGCACACGAACCTTTAGCCTTTAGAACGCTGATCTGGGACCCAATGGTGTGATGTTCTAACTTCAATCAATCCACGATACTGTGCGACTGTTTTCCATTCTCTTCGGTAGTTAACTGCACCAGAAATCTCCTCTCAAAGCTAGTCACTAGCAAGTACATAGTAATTATTGGTTTTGAATTATGGAGGTTGGTGGACAAGACAATTGTTCATCACTTCCAAGTTTCCAATGGTTATTTAACTAAGTTCCTTTCAAACAACCTTGAATTATTGGTACTCTCAACCAATCAAACACAAGGCAAAAGATAAGCTAACACCAATGGTTAATATTCAGTATCATTTCCTAAAGAAGAATACTCAATTGGTTGAAAATGTAACTCTACTTTCTAATGAATAAGTATGAACAAATGCTTTCGACTCGTCTTTAGTCAATAAAGCGGCCGAAACGTGGCATCAATCATTGAAGTCACTAACTTCTAGTCTGAGCAATGTTGGTAGATGCAGACTACTTGGTTGGGGTCTGCGTGACTATTGTAACCAATAGTTGGAGACTATGGGTGTGATATATGGCTCAGAATCGATCACAATGGCATAGATGTATACACTCTCTGTCTTCCCTTAAACTATGAGATTAAAATCGCTTCATATCTTTCTACGAACTAATTCTTCCAGTATTATGTCCATATATGTAATCTTTCATTTATGTATTACCACCATTGAATTAACTTCTTCTATGAATCCGGTGTTCGTATTGCTGTGCTAATGTGGTATGGGAACTTGGACCGATGCATATATATACCTGGTCCTATTTGTAGCCTACTGACTGACTGAAGAAGTTGACTTAACCTCGAGTATAGGAAGCTTATTTATCAGTATTGAAATTGATCACCGTATAACATAACAATGTTCCAAACAATAGTATATACACTAATGCCTATTTTTTCATTGGTTCTTCAAAGTTAACGTTATGCCAATGATAATTTTACTGTTATGTATACAAATCTTGTCAAATTATTTCAAATACCCATTCTACTTTACTAATTGTAATGTATTTTCTGGATATCAATCATTTCAATAGTTGAGATCATGGGTTCATTGAAGCTAGACCACCATGGAAAACCTAGAAGCACTGGACGGCCGTCTCATCCTCTTGTGGGACTCCTCCATGGCAGTGTGCACCCACGATCCCGCTCGCGGGATGTCGAACCTAGGACGTATCAGTCTTGCGCGTGAGCGCTTAACCACTAGACCACTGTTCTGGCCGGCATCCAACGATATTAATGTCTAACTTCAACTAATCCATGAAATCGAGTGACACATCCACCGTCGTCATCAGTGAGTTACTATCTCACAACTGACCCAACTGAACTCTAGTGGTCCCGCGAGTGGGTTCGTGGATGTGCACTGCTGAGGAGCCCCACAATAGGATGAAACGGCCATCCGTTGCTTTCAGGTTTTCCTTGGTGGTCTAACTTCAATTGACTTATGAATTTAACCACTTGTTGTTTCTTGACTCCTTTTCTTATTTGTTTCTGTGTTTGTTTTTTTAGCAATTTTTAATTCGTTACAAAAGTTTGTCCACTCAAAAAAGGTAAACACTAACAATTTCCAATCTTACAAGTTTATTTGTTCACATTTCCGTTTGTTTATTTTTACTATGTAATGTTTTAATTTGAATGAAATACTACTTATATGAATAGTCAAGTACATATGGTTGTACTGAGACTTTGAGTTTCTCATTACATTTATGTATGCTGTAAGGAAGATCATTCACTTTCTGTAATATTATTATTATTATTTGAACACATAGATATTGGTACAAGGAGGTACCAAGTGCATATGCGCCACACAGATCTCATTTGTGAGGGCGGTGATACTGCCCGGGTGCCCAAACCGAAGCAGGTGATTTCTTTAGGCGGCCACACCCAGAGTCTTCGAGCTGAAGATCTGATCCACAAAGCAATGGGGCATCGTAAAGAGATGCAGTCCCATGGTAGCCGATGACCAACAATTAGTTGATACGCTCTTTGTTCCCTCAGGATACTGGAGTCCATGTACACCACTGGTTTGAAACCAGGGTTTTCCAACTCCGTATTCATCAACCTGGTCAAAGCGCCGGACATTCGCTTTTCCTTCTCTCAATTTCGTAAACGGTGATGCCACGAGAAGACAATGAGTAGGAATTTCCTGACAGAGGCTATGTACGCGTGGTCATGTGAGAGCTTCTCGAGAGGGTGAGCTGACTGTCTCCACTCTTGGCCGTACAAGGTGCACTTTCTAAATAGTCTGTGTTAATGTTTGATACTGTAAAACTAGGTAACGAGGGTTCGAGTCTCACTGATCATGTTGCAGATATCCCTTGTTGATAAATAACAACTAGCACAAAATCTGAATCAGATAAGTCACCTCTAATAACCTTAACTAGTTACTGTTAAACTTTCAGCGGCCTGCTTGAATATCTGGGCTACCTGTTCTTATCATCTAGATATTTCAACAAGTTATCTGTTCTCTTATTTGTTTTAACACATCATTATGTCTATTGAGCGTATAATCTATTCAGTCGCGTTTATAAAATGTTTACGACATTTCTATGTACAGATTACGAAAAGGTACAATCAGTGGCATCATAATGGCTGGTAATATACATTGAATAGAACGAACATTATTCAAATATTGATTCCCGAATTGCTAACATCTATATGACAGTCACTCAATATGTCATCATCAGGATTGATCAAGAAATAAGAAAAGGAAACTTGTTGGAAATACTTTGCGCTAAGAATTCTATATTATACCAAATATATAATATTGAATAAAGCCATTAATAATAATAGTAATAATAATAATATAGTTGTTATATGACTCGGCAGTTTATAGAGATGAGTTCAATTTGAAGATAATTCTCGTTTATAATTACTCTACTGCAAACTTGTCCTATCTAAGTTTTATGCTTGTTAAGATTCGAACTTACGTCACCACTGAACTTTTCAATTCTCCATGAACTTGTAAAACTGAAATATTTACAGTTAATCGGGGTTCAAAAACGATGTACAGGGTGAAACAGTTAAGGGTTAGTAATAGTAGTAGTAGTAGTAGTAGTAGTGATTTTAGTTGTTAGATGTAAACTATTCAAACTTTGACTCATTGTACTATATGAAGTTTCTGGGTCGTATCAGCACTTGATAGTGAATGTTTATTTGCCATTGTTCTATCTAATATCAATTTCTCTAATAAAAAAAAGTACTGTCTCTCAAATGAATCATCTACCACTTCCCTCCACATACCATATAGGGAGGAACATTTTATTACCGGTTTAAATTTTGGGTGGTACCTGCTTCGGTTTGGGTACCCGGGCAGTATCATAGCCCTCACAAATATCAAATGAGATCTGTGTGGCGCATATGTATTTGGTACTACCTCCTTGTACCAATATCTATGTGTTAAAATAAAATAAAAATTTGTGTGGTATCATACTGGTTCAAAAATCTGATAAGTTCTAGCTTTGTTCTATGTTATGTTGTGTTGTGTTGTCTTTTACACATCAATGAGAAGTCTTGATCAATCATCAAATCCTCACTGATTTATTCAATGATTTACCATCTGATATGAGTCAATGATGTAACCATCTAGGTTCTTTTTACTTGTTGTAAGTTACGTTACGAACTGAGCCTAGTTTGACATTTGTTGAAAACCACCATACAGCTGTTTTGCTATAGTATAGGACTTCTTAACAGTGCGCACCGACGACCCAATTTCTGAGATTGAACACAAGATCTTTAGGCTACACATCGCTCACTTAACTTCTAGATCGCTAGTTGAAATTCACCAGGTTACCTCTATAATTTCAGTTAATTCAATACATTGAACAATAATGGATCGTAAGTGATAAGTTTTCTAATTGAACACTAGATTCAGTTCTAAAGCTCTTCTAGTAACCAGCAGGCTAAATCTACACAGTGACTTGGACACGAGAGAAAAGGCGCGAAATATGAAAGAAATGCTTTACTCCAAGATTCATTTATGTACTTACTTACTTCTGTTACTCCCAGTGGAGCATAGGCTGTCGACCAGAATTCTTCAACCCTTTTAATACATTCCACAAATCATCATCTTTTCTCTTTCTGCTTATATCTCATGGTCATTTGATGATCATTATTATCATCTCTTGGTATTTCAATATAATTTATCAGTTCGTAATTCGTAGCTTCTCGTTAACGAAGCACAATATTAAAGCCTACTGAAGCATCTAACTAATTAATTGAGTTACACGTGAAAATATAAATTTAAAAGAAAACTTTTGTCTTGGAAATGATTTAACTAGCCAATCTAAGCTAGACCAATATTAAGACCATGGAGGCACTACATGGCCACTTCGTCCTAATATGGGACTTCGTAGAAGTGCGCACCCAGGATCCCACGAGCGGGGCTCGAACCCAAGATCGATTGAAGTTATACATTAACACCGTTAGACTCTGGTTCAAGGGTCTAGGGGCTAAGTGTTCATAAATCTCACATGCAACATCGTAGATGCACACTGCTGAAGAGTCCCATGCTAGAACGAAATGGTCGTCTAGTGTTTTTAGGTTTTCAATAATAGTCTGACCTAGATCGACTCGTGAATTCAACTTTGAAAATACTACAATCTCCATCTAACACATCTATAAGCAATCACACTCAGTGGATCCGGAGTAGAAATCAATGGGAGGAATGTAAATCACATATTCAATAGTTGGTAGGCTTAGTGGCTGTTTATCTACGCTCAACGAACAATCATATTTTACTTTCACTATCATATATCCATAAGTTAGTGACAACCCTCAACTCATTTAGTATCTATGGTGGTTAACGCGTTTCTTTTACTGTAATCATACAAAGAATAATTATACTAAACGTTTGTGTAGATGATAACCAACCGATATGTCAAAAGTCGACAATGAAATGAAGAATAAGAGCAAACTGTTATTTTGTTTAAATAAAGAAATGCTCGCGTGCGAAACCAGTAGGTCCTGGGTTCGAATCTCGCAGGGGGCGAGGTCGTGGATACGCACTGCTGAGGAGTCCCATAATAGGACGAAATGGCCATCCAGTGCTTCCAGGTTTTCCATGGTGGTCTAGCTTCAACTGAATCATGATCTTAATCATTAACACTTAGTAAATCAGTTCATGTTTACACAATACAGATTGTACACATCTAAAAGTTAATGATACTTTTTAGTATCATTGTATTATTCAAGTAGTATAATCCAGTGAAATAAATTTGGATGGAGAAAAAAGGAAGAGATTTGAAGAATTCAAAAGATTAGAATTTGAGAGAACACAAAGAATGGATGCACCTGTGCTATTGCAAACGATTTTGAGCCATGTCATTCAAGGTCTCTAACCATCGGTTGCTATCATCTCGCGGATTCCAACCAGGTAGTCTACATCTACCAACATGACTTAACCAACTTGTCAGAGACTTCATGGATTTGTGTCATGTTTTGGTCTGGCAGCCTATAGCTTTCTTCCAATCTACTCCTAAACCATAAAACATTGCACGTCGGGGTAGTTGGTGGTTGAGCATACGCAGCACGTGTCCCAGTCATCTCAACTGATGAAGTTTCACTACTTCATCAATTGATTTGCCATCCTTACCTAGTACCCGTTTCCTAGCAACTGCATTACTTACTCGGTGGTCTTGTGGATCCTTTTATTTTGTCGTCATTTAGATCGGACGATGTTGTCGAAACGGCTCTCCACTTTAGTAGCCCGAGATCTGACTTCAAGTAGATCGTATGAATGTTTGTTATCACCTATCTTATATAATCATCGAATTAAATCGCGTTAGTCAATAACGGAATTAAATAAATCAAACAACGAGAATAGAATTTTGTATATGAAGCTAATGGAATAAAACGAAGCGAAACGACGCGCAGTGGAGATGGCAGGTAAGCCAACTCCCCTTTAGCCAAGAGTTAATCAATATTTATAGGCACACAAAAATAAGTTACAGTCATGTGATGAGTAATGGGATAAGAAGTGTACACACACCTACGACGCGCTCATATAAAAACAGTCAAGATTGGTAAGCGAATAATTAACAAGGTCAGAATGTGACTCAAGTAGGATGAATACATTGACCTGTCCGAACGCTAGAATAAGGTATATGGGCTTAACATAATAACCGACACTACAGTCTCAGGATATACGAGCAATGCTTCGAAGACACCTATGATCAAATACTAGTAACTTACGAATATCCTCTACTCTTACTGGCCATGTTTCACTGCCATAAAGTATGAAGGGACGAACTGCTGCGTAGTGAACCCGTCCTTTGGTTGATAGACGGATATCTCGCCTACGCCATAAATGACGCAAGTTGGCAAAAGCTAGTCGGGTTTTCTGTATCCGTGCTGAGATTTTGTCCCACACCAGACCACAAGGGCTGATTGGACTTCCAAGATAAGTGAAGCGGTCGACACGCTCAACTACTTCACTCCCTATCACTAGTTCGGATGTCGATGCAACCCAATCCTGCAGCAACATTTTGCATTTCAAGGGGGAAAATCGCATGTCGAACATGTTTGCATTGTTGTTTATAGTGGTCAGAATACTGCATTTTGTCAGGGTCTTCACCAAATAGAACTATGTCATCAGCACATTCTAAGTCAACAAGTGGATCTCCCGGTAGAAGTTCAACCCCTGGAAAGTCAGATGTGGAAAGTGTTATCTTGAGCAGCACGTCAACGACAAAGTTAAAAAAAATGGAGAGTGGACAGCCCTGACGAACACCACTTGAGGTAACCAATTCTGATGACAGTTCGCCATAAGCTCTCATTCGACTGGTTTTTTTCGAGTAGAGAGCCTTTATAAGGTTAATGTACTTCTTTGATGCTCCATATATAATAAGTGTATCCACTTTATTTCTTTGGTTTTGTATAATATATGTTTTACTCTATACTAACTGTCTTCTGGTTGGCTAATATTTCTCAAGGTCATTTGAGGTTTGTTCAAAGGTCGTCCATAAATTATCGTCCCGCCGAAATTGTCAAATCAGTTGTTTCGTAAGCAAAGATTTCAAGAAATTCAATCATTCATATTGAAAGAATACTATAACTACCAGACAAAATACCTGACTTATTTTATCACTGTTATGATGTTAATGTCCGGCTTTCGATCAGGTGACTTATCCACCAATCAGAATACGACTTATACAAATCTTCGCAGTATGACAGAACGAATGACGTTCAACCGGTCTCAGCAGTCTAGCGTCCTTATTGGGTCCTATGTCCTTCTAACCCGTCCGCTTCAGTCCAGAACACACTACCAGCTTCTGTAATATGAAACGAATCGGATCGAATCGAACCAAATCGTTTATTTCAGAGATACTCGGTTTATATATCAATCAGACAGATCACAACGTACCATAAAATAGAAAATAACATGTGTACACAAATAAGCCAAAAAAGTGGCTGTGAACGTGGGAGACAGTAATTAATAAACTGAGTATAACATAGGAACAGTAAATCGTACAATGATAAATTATAGGTCAAAGTGAAGGTTATAATAAGAGGAATATTAATATACATAATCTAACTATTGAATAGTTATACCGTAAGAATATATAGATAATATTAGTCAATTAATGTCTCAAAAGTTACTGGTGATTTAATCTTTGCTCGGATATAACAATCACCTCAAAATGTTATCAAGACGTTATCTACAAAAGATCAGAGATTGGTTAAAGTTAGACTTGTACACTATTGGTTGCTGGTTAAATAGTTTGAAAGTTAAACATTCGTGTACGAGACCGGAAGTCTTAGGTTCAACTACTGGCTATGAAGTTGTGAATATGCACTGCCTAGGAGTTCCATATCAATACAAAACAACGTGCCATGTTTTCAATGAGTTTTTTTTTTAGTTCAAAACTATTAGACCTTTACATTTTGCACGAATATGTGAAATTAATAGAAAGCTAAGAATTGTTCTATCGTGTTACAGTTTAAATCTTATGTGTTAATTAACATGAAACTAACGGAGTTCTGTTTAATTTCAGAAATTTCGTCCATTGAATTATTTTTTTATTATCTATCAATTCTAATATGTACAATTACAAATATCTCAACTCGTTATCTACATTTATCTGTCTCTTTGCATTCCATTCTTACTTATCATGATTGCTTTATTTTAAGATATCAATTAAACTACTTTATATTAGTTAGTAGTTTAAAATGAAATATCAAATTTCTTGCTGAGCATATGATTTTTGCAATGTAACATTTATGTGATATATAATTTAAACAGTTATCAAGTCCAAAAATTCAATATATATATATATATATATATATATATATATATATATATATATGAATAATGGAAAACCCTTTAGTACTATCATTATGAAATTCATTATCATCTTAATTAAGACGATTTTGTGGTTGACATCATGAACAGATTGATGTTAGACCACGATTGAGAACCTGGAGGCACCGGATGGCTGTTTAGCCCTATTGTGAGACTCTTTAGCAGTGCGCATCTATGACCGCGCTCACGGGATTTGAACACGGGGTGTTTGGTCTCGCACGCTCAGTGGTCTAGAGGTTAAGTGTTCGCATGAGACTCATATGTCTTGAGTTCGAATCCCGTGGAGCATATTTGTGTATACGCCCTGTTGAGGAGTCATACAATAGAACGAAATGATTGTGTAATGCCTTCAGCTTTTCTATGGTGGTCTAACATCAATTGACTCATGATCTCAATCAAAAACTTAATAATCATCACAACCTAATATTGATAAGAACAATTTTCTGACTAATAAAATATTCTATGTTAAAGAAATATAATGGTTTATTAAGATTAAATCATTTTATGTATCATTACAATTTATCATTGTTTTTGGCATCAACTACAAAAAAATTCGGTAATCAATAAATTATAATCAATACAATGATATCATTGATCTCAATTAATATTCACTTATCAATAGTTATGTTTGTCATTTAATAGTTGAATTCATAAATCAATTATAGTTAAACTACCATGAAAAACCTGGAAGTACTAAATGGCTGTTTCATCTTATTGTGGAACTCTTCAACAGTGCCTATCCACGATTCCGCCCCACTGTGAGATTCGAACCTAGGACCTATCAGTTTTGTGTTAATATTCAATAATACTTCAATTTATATTAATTTCTACTACATATCTTCTAACAACAACAACAACAACAACAAGAAGAATAAGAAGATATAAGCAATACAACATCAAGTAAATTCACTTGATTCTTTCTATCTACAAAATTCATTTGATTTCATTAAATCATTGAACCATTTGATTTGTTCTCTTCTCTTTTTTTTTTCTTATTCCTCATTATTTCAATTTTAATATTCTTTAGAATAAAATAATAATAATAAGTGAATATAACTAATTCTAGTGCTAAAGTTCGAATACGTATATATGCTTGTATGCGTGTGTGTCTGTCTCTGTGTGTGTGCGTGAACGGTACACGTATACATACGTACCCACTCACACACACACACTTACACATACCCACATGCATGTAGATAAGTATCATCTTGACTTTACCTGAGTTATACATTCACTAGTTTACATATGACTGACTATCAAAGATTTAGTATGAAAGAATAAATCTCAAGTGGAAATCATTAAAAATCTATTTAATTAAATGATAGTATTTTGAAAGAAAAGAAAGAGAAAAATAGTTTACTCTTTATCTTTGTGTTCCACCCACCTAATTGATAATGTCATAGGGAATGGTTACTAAGTTAATAATAATATTGATCATCGCCATTATCATGAATATAATCGATAACCTGTTTCTTCTTCTTCTACTATTACCTCATCATCATCATCATCTTGTCTCTTAATACAAGTAATAAGGATGACCAATAATTTTTTTTTTAAAGAAAAGAATAATATGACCAAATGAATCTATGTCATGCATATTAAGCATATATCTATCATATCCACTTCATTGTTCGAAGAAGAATGAATAAAAGCAAAAGAAGAAGAAGAAGAACGAGAAAAAGAAGAAAAAGAAAAGAAAGAAAAAAAAGATCATTTTAATCATTGTTGTTGTTAAGACTTCCACTCTATTCTCCTCAATATGTGCGTGCACCTTACATTTATATAAAAGAAATGAAATGAAACAGAGAAGGGGGGAATGAGAAGCGTATACAATATATATATATATATATATATATATATATATATATATATATACGTATACACACGCACATACACGCGCATACACATACGCACATATGCTAGTGATCGATTATATTTCATTAATTATGTTGATTTAAATATTATTTCTTTTTGTTTCTTTTCTTTTCTTTTTTCTTATTTCTTTTTTCACTGTTCGATATTAATTTAATCAATTGAAAAAATAAGTTGAATCAATTTAATTTTCTCTTTTTCTTTTCTTTTTGATTTCATACTTTAATTATCTTTATTATTATTATTATTAATATTATTATTATTATTCTATTTCACTTTGAATTTGATTATGATCATGAACCGATTGATGTTAGAACAACGTTGGGAACCTGGAAGCACTGGACGGTTGTTTCGTCCTAATATGGGACTCCTTAGTAGTGTGAATCCACAATCCCGCTCGCGGGATTCGAACCCAGGGCCTTCAGTCTCGTGCATGAACGCTTAACCTGCTGGATCGCTGAGCCGGTATCCAATGCTGTTAATGTCTAACCTCAACCGATCCACGACATTGTGCTACCATCTTCCATTGTACTGATAAAGATACCTAACTCTACCCGACATGGATTAGCTCCACTGGTCATGGCTTCTCACTAGAACTCAGAGAATTCCCTCACGAAGCTAGTCACTAGTGAGCACATGTTAATCATCAGTATTGGGGTTGTGGAGATGATTAATTTTTTGCTTGAGATCATGAACCGATTCATGTTAGACTACTATTGAAAACTTTGAAGCACTGGACAGCCGTTTCGTCCTACTATGGGACTCCTAAGCAGTGCGCATCCACGACCCCGCTCGCGGGATTGCTTATTAATTTTATTCTATTATAGGTATATAGAATTTTATTTCAAGGTTACGTTCTGTTTTAGTCCCGTCACTTGAATTGTAGTTGCATTCAAATGAGTTGATATTTTATGCGATGTTATCCGAAGTGAAATGGTATTAGGTTCGAGTCCCAGCGTAAACATCAACTCTGAGATTTATGTACATCTGGCTGATAAGGGCGAAATAGGACGAAACACTGGTCCTGGATTACACTACTTATAAAGCTTATGACTTCAACTAATATCGAGGTAATCCTCATAGGATGTACATATGTTAATAAGCGACTGATCAATTTCACTTCGAAACATCAATGGGTAGATTCAAGCAATCAATACAAAAATGAATAAAGTTGTATAATGGGTAACAGTGAAATCTAGATCGTGTGTGTTCCTTCCTCTTCTGGTTTCATCAACTAATTGTATCCCAACCCTAAATATTTCTGATATTCACACTGAGACCATTTTTTATCTACTAACCTACTGATTTTAACATTGTAATCATTGAAATTAATATTGAAGAGATATAAACCTTTTGCAAATATTACTTTCACCCAATAAACTACTTACTTACTTACTTACACCTGTTACTCCTCGTGGAGGAGAATAGGCCGCTCACCAGCATTCTACATCTAACCATGTCCTGTGCAATCCTTTCTAGCTGTTTTCAGTTCTTATTCATCCTTTCCATATCTGATTCTATTTCCCGACGTAATGTGTTCTTTGACCTTCTTCTTTTCCGCTTCCCTTCAGGATTCCATGTTAGCGCTTGTCTCATGATGCAGTTTGATGATTTCCTTAATGATTGTCCTATCCATTTCCATCGTCTTTTCCTCATTTCCTCTTCAGCTGGAACCTGGTTGGTTCGCTCCCACAGTAGGCTGTTGCTGGTGGTATCCGGCCAGTGGATGTTGAGTATCTTGCGTAGACAGCTATTGATAAATACCTGTCGAGGTCTTCATAATCCAGTCGACCAGCAGAAGAAAGAGGAAGGGAGAGAGTAGACAGCCTTGTCTGACTCGGTCCTTACTTAGAATGCATCTGTCAGATGAACCAATCCACTCAGAATGAGCATATCTCAATAGAGTTGAATCACTTCTTATCCGTAGTGTCAGCAATGTAAAAACATTAATATTGAATAGGGACTTTAAAATTAATTTTAATTATCTTATTCTAGTTTCCGGCTCATCAACAATTCATGCATAAATGACCATTGAGTCTCAGTATATACGACAGTTGTATATCACCTGATCAAATATCCGATAGCTTATTACTTACGCTTGTTACTCCTCTCAGAGGAGTATAGGCTGCGCAAGTTTGACTGGTCTTCCCAGTCTCCTACATTGTCCGGACATTCCATGTACCTATAAAAATTGTTACACTGGTTGTTAGAAGGAGCATCAACCTCGTGACTTCTGAAGAATATCGGCTTTCACCCTGAAGCGTCATAATTTTTCCTTCAACTCCCAGGGCAAAATTTAAATGGTTTAATTTGCTTCATCCTTTACCCGGGCTTGGAACCGGTAGTAACTCTGGAAGAGCTACAGGCGGAGTTCCAGCAGCTTATAATCTGAGATAATTAACTATATAATGATATAATAGCCGTCAATCAAATGTTATTTAATGTTTCATACGTATTCGTTAGTTCAGTCATTGATTTTAGTTAGTGTGATAAAAACAAAGTGACTTCAGTTCTTGCTTACCTACTTATTTACGCCTGTTACTCCTAATGGAGCATTGGCTGCCGACCAGCATTCTCCAACCCACTTTGTCTTGGGCATTCCTTTCTAGTTCTATCCAATTTTTGTTTATTCTTCTCATGTCTGTTTCCTTTTCTTGGTGTAATGTGTTCTTTGGTCTTCCTCTTCACCTTTGACCTTGAGGATTCCAGATGGGGGCTTACCTTATGACACAGTTGGGTGCTTTTCTCAATGTGTGTCCTATCCACTGGCAGCGCTTATTTCTGATTTCTTCTTTCACTGGAATCTGATTTGTTCTCTCCCACAGTAAGTTGTTGCTGATAGTGTTTGGTCAATGGATCTGAAGTATTTTGCGTAGACAGCTATTAATAAACATTTGTGTGTTCTGGATAATGGATTTCGTAGTTCTCCAGGTTTCCGCCCCATACAGTAGAACTGTGTTGACATTTGTATTGAAAATTCTGACCTTAATGTTGGTTGACAGTTGTTCTGAATTCCAGATATTCTTCAAATGTAGATATTCTGTTCTTGCTTTGCCGATCCACACCTTCACATCTGCATCAGATCCATCGTGTTCTCAAATGGTTATATATTTAACCGTAATCATGTATGATGCAAGTTCAGATTGTATTGACTACTATGAAACTGTTAATACATTATATTGATGATAGGAGTTCTTATGAATTATCTTTATATACTCGAGATTCAAAATAATAGATATACTAGTTTCCATAGCCAATCTATTACTAAGTATGATACGACTATACTAAATTGTCAAACTTTGATCGATTCTTGAAATGTTCAGGCCATTTTATTAGCTATGTGTTGTCAAGAAATGACGAATATTCAGTAGGTCTTGGTATTGATCCTTGATGGAGCTTTTGATTCATTTCAACTGTAAGAAGTGTTAAACTTAAACGTGATTACTGTATGGTGCTCTCCAGTTTTTGAATGGTTACCTGTCTACGGTCAATTGACGATGTAAACTATGAATTTATCAAAGGTTTTTTTTTCTTTAGCCAGTTATTCAAGTTTAATAACTGTAGTATGTTTCATAATAAATATATTTTTTCAATGGTTGAGATCATGAGTTAGTTGAAGCTAGATCACCATGGAAAACCTGGAAACACTGGACGGTAGTTTCGTCCTAATGTAGGACTCTTCAGTGGCAGTGTGCATCCACGATCCCACCTCCCACGAGATTCGAACTCAGGTTTTCTATGGTGGTCTAGTTTCAACTGACCCATGATCTCAACCATTGAAATTACTGTAATATCCAGAAAAACACCTTCAAATATATTTTTGTTATATCCCAATAATTATTATCAGAAGAGGGTTTTGTCGAGATTTTGCTAATTTAATGGTTGAATTTATGAGTCCATTGAAGCTAGACCATCATAGTAAACCGAGAATGATAGGTTCTGGATTCGAATCCTGAGAGTAGGATCGTGGATCCACACTGCTAAGGAGTCCCATACTAGGACGAAACATCCGTCTAGTACTTGCAGGGTTTTCATAGTAGTCTAGCTTCAATTGACTCATGAATTCAATTATATCTCAATGATTTTGATTGAGATCATGAACCGATTGATGTTAGACCACCATTGAAAACCTGGGTTCGAATCCCGCAAGAGGGATCATGAACGTGCACTGCTGAGGAATCCCACAAAAGGATGAAACGGCCTTCCAGTGCTTTCACGTTTTCAATGGTGTTCTAACATGAATCGGTTCATGATCTCAATCAAAATCTTAACAATCTCCAAAACCCCTAAACTGATATATCTCAATGAGTAGGAAAGTTGTATTTCTGACGTCTATAGTGGACTTCTCATTATAATACCATTTTCCATACTTATTCAATTGTATGTTAATCAAATAAATATCCATAAATAAGTCGATAATTCTGGAAGTAACGAATAGACAATGGTAACTGATTAATGTGATTTACATAATGAGCAATTAATATACAGTTCACCTTGTATTTATCTTCTGGAATTTCTCTATCAAAAGACTTGTATCATATCGTTTTTTACTTTGATTGATTATATAATATAGTATACCCTTCTAGGCCAGGGTAATTTGACATTGGTTTTGAGTAGAACAGGACGTCATCTAGACTTTCATGTGAAAACCCAAACAGTACAATTCAATTCCGTCTCATAGTACAGTCAGACACTGCTCAGGCTCAACTCGAACAGTACAGTTCAATCTCACTTTCAGGATAGCCAGACACTACCCAGGCTTAAAATTATTAGCCTAAATAGTATGGCTCAATCTTGTTTCCAGGAGAATCAGGGACTATCCAGGCTTAAACTTTATAACTCGAGCAGTACAGCTCAATCCCGCTTCATAGGAGAACTAGACACCATATAGGCTTTAACGCTACAATATGAGTAGTACAGTTCAGTCCTATGACGCAACCACAACTGTACCAAACACCCTGATGGATCATTCGCACCAGTCATATACACATTCACATTACGTGTATAGTTATTCCGATCAATCATTGGTACGACAGTTATTTGATTGCAAAAATACTGACGTTTTGAAGTGCATGACGTTTAACTACTCATAAGTAATTTACAAGAATACTCGTCAATATTAGAGCGACAAAGATTGGGACCCGAATATAGAGAAGTCACTATAGGTAGTTTAGGTTTTTTATGGAGTTTTTCTTAAGGTGAAAAATATAAACATATAATTTGTTTCGACTACGGGATTCGAACCTAGACCATATAGCGTCATAGTCATAGATGTTATCACTAATCTATCCAGGTTCTGAACAGCCTTCATCATATTAAAACTATCCAATCAATGACCGGTACCATTTCTTACTTTAGGGAGATTGTAAATGTAAAAGTTTTGAAGTTTTATACAAGTGACTTATTTCAGTTAGATAAGCATTGGAAAGTAGGACAATTATTGCCAGTCCATTTGAGGGGGCATTTCCTGGTACTTATCATCCCCTTCCCATGTATATGTTGTAACGAGTACATATAAACTGATTTATGAGATTAGATGTAGCATGAAATATTTATGCTTATCAATAAACAGTTTATTCGGTATTCCAAAAAAGAACAAATTTAGAAGCTGAGCAAACCATTTTTTTATGTA